CTGGATTTAGAAAAGGCAGAGGAACCAGAGATCAAATTGCCAACATCTGTTGGATCATTGAAAAAGCAAGAGAGTTCCAGAAAAACATCTATTTCTGCTTTATTGACTATGCCAAAGCCTTTGACTGTGTGCATCACAATAAACTGGAAAACTCTTTTTAAAGAGATGGGGATACCAGACCACCTGACCTGCCTCCTGAGAAATGTGTAGGTGGGTCAAGAAGGTCAAGAAGCAACAGTTAGAACTGGACATGGAACAACAGACTGGTTCCAAATTGGGAAAGGAGTACATCAAAGCTGTATATTGTCACCCTGTTTATTTAACTTATATGCAGAGTATATCATGCAAAATGCTGGGGTGGATTAAGCACAAGCTGGGATCAGGATTGCTAGGAGAAATATTAATAACCTCAGATATGCAGATGACACCACCCTTATGGCAGAAAGCGAAGAACTAAAGAGCATATTGATGAAAGTGAAAGAGGAGAGTGAAAAAGTTGGCTTAAAACTCAACATACAAATTGGCTTAAAACTCAGTATTCAGAAAACTAAGATCATGGCATCAGGTCCCATCTCTTCATGGCAAATAGATGGAGAAAGAAACAGTGAGAAACATTTTTTTTGGGGGGGGGGGTCCAAAATCACCACAGATGGTGACTTCAGCCATGAAATTAAAAGATGCTTGCTCCTTGGAAGAAATTTATGACCAACTTGGACAGGATATTAAAAAGCAGAGACATTACTTTGCCAACAAAGGTCCATCTAGTCAAGGCTATGGTTTTTCCAGTAGTCATGTATGGATGTGAGAGGTGGACTATAAAGAAAGCTGAGTGCCCAAGAATTGATGTTTTTGAACTGTGGTGTTGGAGAAGACTCTTGAGAGTCCCTTGGACTGCAAGGAGATCAAACCAGTCCATCCTAAAGAAAATCAGTCCTGAATATTCACTGGAAGGACTGATGTTGAAACTCCAATACTTTGGCCACCTGATGCAAAGAACTGACTCACTGGAAAAGACCCTGATGCTGGGAAAGATTGAAGGCAGGAGGAGAAGGGGATAATGGTTGGAGGGCATCACTGACTCGATGGACATGAGTTTGAGCAAGCTCCAAGAGATGCCTAGCGTGCTGCAGTCCATGGGGTCACAAAGAGTCAGACACGACTGAGCAACTAAACTGACTTCAAGAGGCATGAGGGTATTGATTGTGTCTATCTTGGTAAGCACTATATCTCTGGCATGTAGCTTGTAAATACCCAGTACAGAAAGTCTCAGATAGATGAGGCTAACTAAATTCATTCACTACATCACTTTTGAGTCTTATTTCATCTACTTGCTGGATAATTTTTTATCTTTTTAGTCTGTCTTAATTATAGCTCTCTTTAATTGCTTTAGTTGTAGGTTCTTTAAGATTTCTTTCTTAAAGTGCTGAGATCAGATTTGCAACCATTGCCCCCAGTAGAATTCACCTTGGCTTTACACAAAGAAATTGTCAAGTACTTGATTTCTGTGCCCCAAGGCTTTTTCCTGCTGAAATACACTTCCCCACCCTCTCCTAATGCAGCGTTGCCCCTTATGCTAACTGGGTCACTTTGCCAGGCAGCCAAGACTTTTTTCCCTCTGGACTCCTCTGGGCCAGGAACCAGTAAGTTGAGCTCTAAGGATTTGCCAAGGCTTTCTATTAATGCTAGTCCCTACCAGCATCCCATATCCCATCCTTCCACCTTCAGCCAGATCTCCATCTCCCAGCGCAACCTGCCAGATTGTGTCTCTGGAAGGTTTGAGGCAGTTCCTGGCCAAGGGTCCTTTACCTGCTTCACCTGCAGCAAAGGGTACAGGTCCAAGTTCAAAGCTGCCACCCCTATGCTAAGATCTTGGGTGAGCAGAATGCTTCAAATGAACTCCCCTGATTAAGCATTTTTGAGCCCATTGCAGGTTCCCTGGGAAGTTGGATCCACTGCCCAGGCTCCAAAGACAATTGTCTTAGAAGTCTAGAAGCTGCTTATTTTTAAGTCTTTATGAGAGCCCAATTAATTGATGTGGTTGTCTGGTCCAAAGGAAGAAATGCAAGGCACATTACTCAAGAGGCAGGTAAGGAGCATTATCTTTTGGGGAAACTGGGGACAGGGAGTTAGTTAGATATATTCAGGCTGGTAATCCACTTATTTAAAAATACAGAGATACTGGGTTTCCCTGGTGGCTCAGATGGTAAAGAACCTGCCCGCAATGCGGGAGATCTGGGTTCAGTCCCTGAGTCGGAAGATCCCCTAGAGAAGGGAATGGCAACCCACTCCAGTGTTCTTGCCTGGAGAATTCCATGGACAGAGGAGCCTGGCAGGCTACAGTCCATGGGGTTGCAAAGAGTCGGACGTGACTGAGTGAATAACACTTTGACTTTAAGAGATATTATAATAGATATATTAAAATGTGAACAGATAAGTGTATTTAACTGGTATATAGAAGTATAACAAACATATACAAAACATTCACATAGTAAGTGTGCACAGTTCAAAACTACTCACAAACCAAAATTCAGATCAGAAAACAAACCCTTACCAGCACCCCAGAAGCCCCCATTATGACCCCGAATTTTGCCTACTTTGAACATCATGCAGTGTGAAATCATGCAGTGTGTAGTATTTTGGATCTGGCTGCTTTGGTCAATATTATGTTCATGAAACTCATTGGCATGTTTAGTTTAGTAGTGGCTAGTTGATTCTTATTGATGTATATTATTTTATCTTGATTTATTTATGGGTACCACACTTAATGGTTATTCAGGAAATTTCCAACATAGGACTATTACAAATAGTGCTGCTGTGAACATTCTAGTGCCTGTCTTTTGGTGAACTTAAGTACATGCTTCTGCTGGGTATATACTTAGGAGTGGAATTGCTGGGTTATAAGGAATGCACATATTCAAATTTAATTGTTACTGCCAACCAATTTTCCAAGTGTTTACACTCTCCTCCAAATTTTCCCAGTTTACACTCCACCAGCCAACTCAGGCTAATTGCCTACGTGGTGTTTTTTGTGGCACGGTCCTTAGGAGTATGGGTTCTTAAAACAGTCTCTTGCCAGTTATGTGACCTTGGACATATTGTCTGTATAATGGGCACATTTGCTGTGGGTACTGATTTTATAGGACAAAACTGAGAACTGACTAGAGTGGACATTTAGCTACTACTGTGCCTGGCATGTAAAAGGCCCTCAGTAATAAGCAATCATTTACTGATGGCCACCCTAGCTGAACCCGCAAAGCGGGAAGGTCTGTATGTGAGAGGGAGACAGGGATGGAAGCAGAAAGAGATTGATTCATTCTTGGTGGAGCGCTACTTAGCACTTTTACAGTTCCTATTTTGTTACCTAAGCCCAACTGCAAACTCCAGAGGTGAGCAGATGGGATTCCCGTGAACTAGTAAGAACTCAAGAAAACTGGGCAGGAAAGAACTTTTCCATTCTTATGCACACCTAGCAAAGCCAAACCAGACCAACCAAGCAAAGAAAACCGTACCGAGAGATTCACTTGTAAAGCGATCACAGAGTTCGGGATTCTTATCCAACAGGCCATCCAACTCAGACCTACTCTGCCCGGCAGACTTCCAGAAGTTTGGGCGAACCTGGAATCAGTTCCTCTCACCCCTTTGGCCCCTCCAGTCCCTCCTTTTCACTGCCGGCTTAACTCCAGCTCTTAGCACTTAACGCTAATACCTTTGGGCAGGCTCCACCGCGGAGTTTAACTAGCTGCCAAGTTAAATAACACAGAGGATCCTAAGCCGTCTTCCCAGGGAGTTAGAAATCCGACAGCATCCGAGCTGCAGGGTCTGTTACTCCTCCAAAATGCCTTTTTATTTCATATATATATATATATATATATATATATATAATGCACACTTATATGTATGTACATAGTGTATAAAATATATATAAAATATAACCGTTCTTTGTAAACTATTGTTTCCTTTGAGTTGCACCTGGAAATCGCGTGGCAAGAAAAAAAGGCATTTACAAGATGACTACCTGCCCCCACTATTAGCTCAGGAAATGACAGGTCCGCTGGCAAACTGCGACATGCAGGTATTGGATTCAGAGTACTAATCAAAAGGCATTTTAAGTGAAGGGTTGTGGAGAGCAGTGAACATATATACATATACACACAATATACTTACATGTGCATATATATGCTTGAGTGTGGTTATATGTGCATCGAAAGCAGAGGGGACAGCACACCAAACTTGCGTGTAGGGGCTGCAGATCTGCTCTCTGGGGAGGGTCCCTCTGGCCAAAGAGTGCGCACACTGCCCCCGATTTCGGAAGATGAGGTGGAAGTCCTCTGCAGCGATCGAGGTGGGGGTTGAGAGGGTCCTGGAAACTGTAATAGGTTCACAGCACCATCCCCCTCCCTCCTTGGCAGCAAAGCCGGCTGCCCTTGATGTATAGGCATCTCTCCTCTTCCAGGGTGAAAACCAGTCTGTGGGTGCACTGAGATTTGCAAACCAGTCCCCGGATGCGAGGGGCGCTGTGAAACAGCCGGGTGCAGTGGGCCGGGCGCTTCGCCACCCTGGCTGTGGGCGCCGCAGCATCCCCGAGGACGCGGGCAGATGCAGACGGCTCTGGCCCATCTGTCCCTGGAGGCCCGGGCCCAAGACTGTGCTCGCGCGGTACACGTTACCGGGATCGAGGCGCTCCGGGCCTTGCCTGGCCGGGGGATCAGGGCCTCTTTTGTCTCCCGACGCACTAATCCAACTCACTGCGGGCACTAAAGGCGGAGGCCCCTGGGCCTTGGACAAGCCCGCCGCTGGCAAGCCGGTTCGAATGTTTTCAATAAAATGCTTCCTAGGGGATTGAAAAAAAAAAAAAAGATCGCAGAAGAATTTCTCTGCAGAAGTTAATCTATTTTCAGCGATTAAACGCAGCACCGGGTAAATCCGATCCTAAATATCCCTTTAGAAAGAAGAAGAAAGAGAGGGAGACTCCTTAAACCATGAAGTTTGTTTGGTTTGGGTTTGTTTATTCGATTGATTTGGTTTCTGTTTGTTTGTTTGTTTGTTTGTTTCCAAACGAGTTTCAGGGCAGCGGTGAGAAACAATATCAAATCTGCCCAGTGGGTGTTTCTCCAAACTCAGCAGCCTCCAGCCTGCCGTGGCCCCCAAGCGACTCAGCTCCCTGAGGAGAGGACACAGGACACTATATTATGTATTGCAACCTAATAATAGGGTGAGGAAATAATTATAATCGTAATACTTAAGAAAAAAAAAAAAACAGTGCCTCTTGCCATCTAGCACCAGGAGACACAGCCACCAGGGCTGGAATTGCAACACTTCTGTGGAGCAGAAATGCTTGCCTTTTCCCTCTGCCATCTCAGAAGTAATGCAAACGTGTGAGCTTTTGCTCCAGAGGGGGGTTTTCCTCTGAGGTTGTCTACACCCTGGGAAGGCGTCTGCTAAGTAATTTATTCTAAAGTGAGGGCGATTTCTGGCATTAAGACATTTTTGAAAACAAAAGTCATCCTTAACAGTGTTCGGCTTAGTGACCATAAAAAGGCCCGAGGGAGGGGGTAGAGAGAGGAAGACTCTAGCCGTGCCAGTCATATTTAATATGCTTCCCACAAGAGAAGCCTCTGCAAAATCAATAGACAGCCGCCAGCTGTGCTTAAACCTGCGATTTCAATTAAAACATTGCGCTCCGGTCCCTGGTTGAGCCTGGATCCGCAGTCAGTGGTGTGCGAGCGGCTTGGCTCCAGGCGCGGCGTCCCACAGCCGCCGATCCCCGAGGTCGCGGTCCGGGTCAGGCCCAGCGGAGCTGCGGAGCACCGGGCCCTGGCACCCCGCTCTGCAGCGTGGGAAGAGCGCCGGCCGCCGAGAGGCGTCAGGCTTACCCCTGGCAGTGTTTCTCCATCGCGGCCGAGCTGTGGAGGCCCAAACGTGGGCCAGATGGGCCGAGACGAAAGCGTCTGGCTTTCGGCGGAGGCGCCCAGAAGGAGAAGGGCCTGAAGCTGAGGCCACAGGGCCCGACAGGACCCCACGGTGGGTCCAGGGCTCACAGGCCGACCTCGAAGGGCTGCAGCCCGCGCCGTCCAGCAAGGCCGTCAGCCCTGGCCCGGGTGCTCTGGAACTGCGGGCAGGCACCCTGTCATTTGGCCCCCGGGGCAGAGCGGCGCGCTGAGTGAGGCCTAGTGGGCCTTGCTTGGCGCCGCGGCCGCGGGCCTCCAGGTCAAGTGCCTTGTTTGGGGGTGAGACCAAGGCACCAGCCCCTCAGAGCCACATGTATGCTAGTCTGGATTGGGAGAGAGCCTGGGGTTTCTTATCTATCTGGATAGTCACTGCTCACTTCTCTCCTAGAACCACTGCTTAAAAGGACAAGGACTTGCTTAGAGAAGGAGGTTTTGGAAAACTTGTCATGAATGGATCCACATCCCTGAGATAGTTGCTCTCCAGCTAGCCTCCTATTGCCCTTACTGTCGAGTTACTCCAGATTTTTTTTCCTTCGCTAAAAATGTGTGGGTGGAAAAAAGTTGTCCTTATTCTTGAAGAACCCCTCCAAGAACTCCAAAAAATTGTCACATTTCCATACTGTCCCTCCCCACCCCCCCTTTCTAAAAAGCATTTCAGCCTCAGGGGGAAAAAAGATGCTGCGGTTGAGAATGAATTTAGAGGGCTAGGAGCAGCAAATCGAAATCTCAGCATTGCCTCCACCGAGTGCCACGTTTCCCCAGTCCTCTATTATTCTGCCTGAAATCATCTCGTTTACAGAAAATATTTGTTTGCACTATTAGTTGGTACTGGAGTTAATTACTCAATGTGTTAACGTGAAGTAATATGTATAAAAGTAGGATCACTGTTTATTGTGTGGGTGAGCTGTTGAGCGGTGCTTGAATAAACTGCAATTAGGGTTAGATAGAGATTAATTAACATGTGAGTGGCAAGGTGTAAAATAGTTTCCAACCCTCCACTTCAATATAATCTGCAGGCAGGGAAGGAGAAGTTTGTGGAAGCTAATTAAATACTTTCATAAAAGCCAGTGTATTCACCCAACATTTGGAAAGAGAGGCACATTAGGGGCAACTTGTTTTTACCCAAATGTTTTCTTTCTGTGGAGGTAGCACTCCTTTGTGATGCTGGGGAGAGAGAGATGGCTTCTGCAGCTACAAAAAGCACTAGGGATGGCAAGGCAGGTTCATGGGAAGTCTTTGGAAGCCTTTCAGCCTGATGGAGCTTTCAGACCAGCAGATCTTTCGAGCTGCTGCCGAGATCAACAATTACCCAAACTGGAAAGGGGGTTGGGGTGCAAGTGCTGATGGCTGAACAGGATCCACAGGAAATTCGGGATAGAAATTCAGGTTGTGAGACCTTCGGGTGTTATTGATACTGTTTCAGTGTCAGGGTGAGTTGTTGATTTAAATCGTTTCCTGTTTGGTGGTGGGGTGGGATAAGGGGTAGTTTATCTGTCTTGTTTTTACATTAACATAGGGATGGGGGCATACTGAGTCTGGAATTCTGCCTCTCTGAACATCTAAATTAAATAGGCTATATGGAAATGTTCTCTTCCAGAGGAGTTAGCCTCTTTCTAGCTTTGAAATTTGGAAGTTGGGGGTGGGGGGGGGGGNGGGGGGGGGGGGGGGGTGAGCACAGAATGCTGGATAACAGATTCAGGAGTGCTGAATTTAGGGGTAGTTTCCAGGCTTGGCAGGGTGGAAGAATTAAACCATGGCAGTGGCCATCCAGGACACTTTCCCCCGGAGACCTCTCTCTCTGCTCCCTCTCCTAGCCTTCAAGGTACACTTTTCCTTCCTTCACCTGCCACATCCATATCTTGTCTGCAGTTACACATCAGAGGGGGAGTGGGTAGGAAAGAGAAATTCCAAAGGGGAGAAACGAGTGGTTTGCCTGAATTTAAAACTAGACCTTTCCTGTCTTTTTCCCCTGCTGGTTTTCCTGGGATGTTTAGCAGGAGAGAGGCCTGGGATGGGGCACTCAGCCCCCTCAAGACGTGTTCTTGAGTGAGATGGGAGAGGGTTTTTTTTCCCACCAGCACTCTCTGGAGCTCCACAAGATCTTACACCTTTGGAGAGAGAATACACTATCAAACCCTCAGCCCTGTTCGCTCATATTATACCAACCATAATCCTCTGAAACTGTAGTTGCTGCTACAAAGCTCCTGGTCTTGCAAAAGCCGGCAGGCAAGATATAATTGTCCAGCAAACAAAACCCTCCAAAAGTTTTTTTTTTTTTTAACCCCAGAATCCCCCTTCTCCTCCTTTCCTAAACGTAATTCTTTCCCTCGCTCTCTTGCTAGCCGCTGTCCCCCTCCCCATAAGAACCCTCAACCTTGATCACTTTTGTTGTCGCCAAGAGCACCCGGCCTGTTAAAAGTGCTGGAGCGTCTTTGAGCAGTTTGTTGTGATACGCAGGTGGAATGGTCTGCAAACAGATGAATTCAGCCCCTCCAAACCAAGCGTGGAGCGCGCTGCTTTTGTGGAGAGGCACAAAACGCTGAATTCCTCCGAACTTACTTGGGGCCTGTCTAGAAAAGGGCCTTTTCTTCCCTCTGCGTGTACCTCTGGCCACACTAAGTCTCTGCCCGCCCCCCTTCAGTCCTCCTCCCTCTCCCCTCTGATAATCCTTCTCTTTATTTTAGAAAAACACAAAACCCGGTTCCACGCGGTGCTTTAGTGGCTAAAAGTGAAAGAGCTGCCTTGGCAGAATTCAGCTCTATGAATCACTTCGGAAAATTGGTTCGACTGAATGGCCTTAGGAGGAAAAACGTTTTAATAGGATCCAGGGGAGGTTGTGCTGTTTCAATCTGCTCCTTAAACAGGTGGAGATTGGACCGTCTCAATTATACAAACAGTAAGTACCCATCAGCAGGGAGACCTGCCCTCGGAATCCTCCTTGCTCGCAGCCCTGAACCCGCAGCGGAGTCGGGCTTTGCCTCAGAAACCCGATCACAAATCAGCGATCCCGATCAATCAAGCTCTCAAACAGCCCTCCCGCTCGGGGTGCAGCCTCCCTCAGCCGCAGGCGGAGAGCGAGTCGGAGAGGGGGACGCGCACCCTCCAGGCGCCGAAGCCCCCAGGATCTGGGCGAGCGGCCTTGCCCCTCCGGACGCTACGGGGTCGTCCTTTGGCTGCGGGAGCTCTCTCCCGACCTCCGACGCCAGCCAAGGCGAGCTAGTTGTTTTTGCATAAATTAATATTTCCCCATTAACAAGTTCCCCCCTCCAAGCGCGGCGCCCGCGTCCCTGCGCCACATCCTAATGAGGTAATTATCATTTGCGCGTGTTCGGGGCTGGCGCCGGCTCCGTGGATAAATGGCAGTTTATTAGCACGATGCCCAGCGCGCCGCAGAGGGCTAAGGGATACTTCGGTGACTAGACGGACACCCAGGGTCCCTTTGAGGCGGCGCGCCCGGGAACCCTTGCCCTCTCCGCGTCCCCCAAACCTATAGGCCCCCAAAGTTGTGAATCACGCACGGAACTCTGCCTGGGTTTGGGCTCCCCCCCCCCTTTTTTTTTCCACCGGCAAAACCATCACGATTCCTCCCCCTCCCCCTCCCGTCTCTTCCCTCCTTCCCGATTCGCGAACCGCTCGCACTTTCCCGAGGGGAGCGCGGGCGCCAGTTGCCTCCTTTTAAAGTTTGAGGGGCGGTGGCGGCAGCGGCCGGCAGGCGCGGTGGAACACAGGGGCCGCTACGGGAGCCGCGCCGCCGCCCATGTCATTCCACTTCAAGTGACTTCATGTGATGTCAGCTGAATGTAAAAGACAGTGATCTCACGCGGAGGGGAAGATGTTTGCCATCAAAATGTGACAGAGGAGACAGGCTGCATGGCTCGGACCGCATCTCCTTGGCGGTGGGGGAACGAGGTAAATGCGAGGTGGCTCTCCCGGTCCTCTTTAACTTTGCCCCTTCACTATCTAGCTCCCAGCACGCGTGGCGGAGGCCGGGGTCCAGGGAGCGGCTCAGAGGGTTAATTTGAGGCTCTTTTCTTTCTTTCTTTTTCTCCCTCTCTCTCCTTCCTCTGTAAGCCCTCCCCCTTTCCCCCCTTTCAAAGTCCCGGGGCAGGGGCTGGTGGGCTCCGCGCGGCGGGTTAATGGGCGGTAATTTGGTACCCTTGGGTGCACTTTGTTCTGCCCCTGTTCATTTGAATGCAAATGGGTGACCTGGACCCGACAAGGTGCTTATTAAATTGCGGTTTCCCTCCCTGCCTTTTCCGGAATGCAGACTTAGAGGAGAGAGGCTGCGCCCTGGCCCAGTCCGGTACGACTCGGCTCGGCGCGCCATGGCAAGCTCGGCTTCCCTGGAGACCATGGTGCCCCCGGCCTGCCCGCGCGCTGGAGCGTCGCCGGCCACTTCCAAGACTCTGGCCTTTTCCATCGAGCGCATCATGGCCAAGACGTCGGAGCCCCGCGCGCCCTTTGAGCCCCGGCCGGGGGCACTGGAGGCGGAGGGCGGCCAGGGCAAGAAATTGCTCAACCTCTGCTCGCCGCTGCCCTGTATGATCCCCCTCCAGCCCCTAGGCTACGAGATGCCGTCCAAGACGCTGCTCAGTTACTCTGAGCTCTGGAAAAGCAGCCTCCGGGCGGGCGGCAGCGGCGGCGGCGGCGGAGGAGGAGGTGGAGGCGGCGGTGGGGGGGCCCCGGTGTGCGGCGCCAGCGGCTTGTGCAAAACCAACTGTGGCGTGTGCTGCAAGGCCGAGCTGGGCCTGGTACCGTCGGCGCTGCCCGCGGGCAGGGTCATCAAGCCGCAGGTCATCAACCAGGCGGTGGGGCTTCCGGCCAGCGGCTCGCTCTACTACTTCAACTACCTGGACTCCGCCACGTACCCGCCGTCTGAGCTCCTCGGCGGCCACCTCTTCCCTTCCGGTCTCCTCAACACACAGGCCCCCGCGGCCCTGGCTGCGCACCCCAAACTCTTTTTGCTGGAGAACGCCAAGCTGGCCGGCCTGACCGCGGACAAGTTTGCCCATCCAGCCCCCTACGCCCATAAGGAGCGCTTGCCTGCGCCGCTGGAGCAGGTGCTGAAGGAGAACTCGGCCCTGACTGCCGAGCGCGGCGGCGTCAAGGGCCACAGCAAGCTGCCCGGGGGCTCAGCGGACGGCAAGCCTAAAAACTTCACCTGCGAGGTGTGCGGAAAGGTGAGGCTCGGGGTCCTGGGGGGCTGGGAGGGGTGAGCAGCTGCTTCCCTGAGGGGCAGCCGGGACAGCCCCTTTCTCAAATTTGCCAGCTCCCTAGTAGCTGTCTACCCGAATTGAGGGCGCAGTTGGGCCTCAGTTTCTTATTCTATAAAATGGGAATGCCTTTGTCAGCGGCCTCACAGGACTGGCACGAACAGTGGATTGGGAAGCTCTTTACAAAATGAAAAGGGCTGTGGTTTCTGAAGGGGGTTTTCGGTTGGGGGAGGTGGTCTCTGCGCGCCCGCCCCCCACGGCCCTGCCAGGCGGACTCTTGGACAGACAGCCACAAGGCCCCCGTGTGTGCTTCCATAGGTATTTAACGCTCACTATAACCTCACCCGCCATATGCCAGTCCACACCGGAGCCAGACCGTTCGTGTGCAAAGTCTGTGGCAAAGGCTTCCGCCAGGCCAGCACGCTCTGCAGACACAAAATTATCCACACCCAGGTACGTGGGCCCCAGGTCCAGCCCGACCCGTACCCAACACCCGGAACTAAGTGATGGGGTTGGGGAGAGAATGGCCAAGGGTTCCCCTTATAACCCCCACCAGAGGCCCCTGTCCCTTCGGCGTGCCCCTTTCAGGTGCCCCCCAAGGTGGCTTCTCCCGGCCGGGGCCTCAGCCTCACGATGCGCACGCCCCTCTCCGCAGGAAAAGCCGCATAAATGCAACCAGTGCGGCAAAGCCTTCAACCGCAGCTCCACGCTCAACACACACATTCGCATCCACGCGGGCTACAAGCCCTTCGTCTGTGAATTTTGCGGCAAAGGCTTTCACCAAAAAGGTAACGTGCGGGCGAAGCCCTCTCCTCACCTCCCCTTGGGACTCGGCAGGTCATCGCTAGCGGGAAGGCAAAGAAGGATCTGGAGAGAGCGCGCGCGAGGGCCTCGGGCTCGGGCGCAGCATTTCTTTGGAATCGGGTTGTACGGGGTTTCGGTGGAAGCTCTCCGGGTTGGGTTAGTAGAGCTCGCTGGACTCAAGCTGATTGCACGGGTAGACTGTGAATTAGGGAGATGGGAAGAAGGAAAGGGGTAGAGGGAAAGGAAGTTGGAGAAAGACAAGGTATCACCCTGTGGAGGAAGCGTCCCTTTGTACCCGGGATTCTTTTGAAAATGGAAAAAAAAAAAAAAAATTCGAGGCGTAACCCACCTCCTGGGAACAGTTTAGACTGGGGGAAACCGCTACTGTCTCCAGAATTCTGCTTGGATTTTTCCAGGCACGTTCGGATCTCCAAGTGGTAGTTAGGGGACCACAGGGAGTAACTTTAAAAATAATAAGAAGAAAATAATAATAATAATAGGGGACGAAGCCCGGGTTCATGCGAATTTCTTCGAGCGAGGCGGCGGCCCGGACAAGGGCCCCATGCGTCTCTCTGGGCAGCACAAAAGTTTCCGGGCCGGCGGAGCTCAGCGGGAGGGATGCTGTTCGGGCCTCAGGCCCCGGTGGGGCTGGGACGCGGGGCGGCTACGCGGGACTCGGCCCTCCATCCTGTAGTGAGAGCCCGGGGCTTGACGCGTACGAAGTTTGACAACTTCTTCACTCGGAGAGGTCGCGCCTGCCTAGCCAAGCGTCGCCTTCTTTACGCGGGCACCTGAGCCAACCCCGGGACACCCGGCCCCTCCCCGTCCCACTTTATCCCCCCCCCCCTTTTTGTTTTTGGTCTCCTGTAGGGAACTACAAGAATCACAAGCTGACCCACAGCGGCGAGAAGCAGTACAAATGTACCATTTGCAACAAGGCCTTCCACCAGGTCTACAACCTGACCTTCCACATGCACACCCACAACGACAAGAAGCCTTTCACGTGCGCCACTTGCGGCAAAGGGTTTTGCAGAAACTTTGACTTAAAGAAACACGTGCGCAAACTCCACGACAGCGTGGGCCCCGCCGCCCCCTCCACAAAGGACCTGACTCGGACAGTGCAGAGCTGAGAGCTCCTGCCTCACCCTCCCTTCCAGTCCTATCCAACCCCCAAACAGATCACACGTATAAACTTATTTCTAAAATTAAGAGAAAGGAGAGAGAGAGAGAAATATTTTTGGAAAGCTAAACGTTTCCTCGATGACTGGCAGCAAACGCCTGGCTCCCCACCTTTGTATATTCGGGAAACTTATTTAAACCCAGCGCCCCGAAACGTATCACACGTATAAACTTATTTCTAAAATTAAGAGAAAGGAGAGAGAGAGAAAAAAAAAAGCTATAGCAGAAAGGCTAAAATCTATTTATCGAAACCAGCATATTTTTGGAAAGCTAAACGTTTCCTCGATGACTGGCAGCAAACGCCTGGCTCCCCACCTTTGTATATTCGGGAAACTTATTTAAACCCAGCGCGCCGAAACATATTTAATTCCAGGCCTCGGCTTCTGGCTTCTCCTCCGGCGGCGGTGGGTTTTAACCCCAGCCTGTCACGTGAACGTCCCGGAAGAGCGCGGCGCCCCCAGCCATCTTTATACAGCCATGTAAATTCTCCTGTACACACGAACACGGAATATATACATATATAACTCAATAAACAGAATCCTTAGTGCGTCTTTTCTTTCCCCCCCCTCTCCCCTCGCCGCAAGTCAGCTCAGCAACCCTAAAGAATGAAAAAGAAATAGGCATTTTTAGCATTTCTCGGCCGCCCGCATGCGACGTCTTCTGTGGGCACTGGGACCAGGGTAAGGCCATATCGGTCCTCCTGCCACGCTAACGTGTTCAGATGCCCCCAGGAACCAAGGATGCAACTGCCCTCACGTTGTACCAAGTTTTTATTTGCTAACTGTTCTGACCAAGGGATTCTGGGTGTTGCCATATTTGGGTGAGTTTTTAAAAAAAGAAGGGATTAAAAGTGGCTAGGTGTTGGCGAGCAGGTTTGAGGTGCGTGTCCTAGAGCAAAGAGGCGCACCACAGTGGGGTAAATGGCAGGAGCACTGCCGCGCCGGGGCGCTTCTGGGCACACCCTCTTGTCTGGGTGATGTAAGGGGAGCCACTCTTCCATTCAATCATTCCTGGCGGCGAGAACTGGGGGCCAAGTGTCCCAGCCCATCCGGGGCTTTGGGGCTCCACGGCCCGCGCTGTGGTCTGGGGCCGGCCTCCGGGTGCTGTGCGCCCTGCCGCGGGAGGGCGCACCCGGGCTCCCGCAGCTCGCAGCCGCCGCCGCCGCCCCGAGTTCTGATTACCGCGCAGTTAGCCCATTTCCTGAATAGCTATCTCCGCCGCCGAGCACGCTGATGAAATGATCTCACGCTTGCTTTCTAAGTAATGACCCAAATTAAGAGAGAAAACAGAGACCCTTCAAACAGCATTACATTAATCATCTAATCATTCCCAGGAGGGGGCCGGCCGCCGCCGCCCCGTTTGATCCGAATCTGGATAATCAAGAGCTCGGATTACTGGCTCGGCGCGCCGGGCCTTCTCCTCCCGCCCCTAATATTCGCGCCGCGATTCAGCCCACGTTTTCTGGAACAATGTTCCCTAGCGCCAGAAGGAAATGTGGCGCGGGGCCGGGGAGTGGGCTTCCAGGCAGCCTCGCCACTGCAAGGGCTAGGGCGGCGGCGTCTGGGCGCTGATCCCACGTGGATTCCTACTGCAGGTAGAGGGTATTTGGAGGGAAAGATGATTGATGCTAAAGGAAATCCCCAAGTAAGTCTGAAAGTGACTTGAGTGGGGATTATGCCAGAGCCCGGTATACAGTAGGCGCTTAGCGCTGCTTGCGCCAGGGGCTCCCACAATCAAAGAAGCTCACATTACCGGAGCGCTTGCTCCACGCCACTCAAACCATACTCTTTCGAACGTTCACAACCCGCAAGCTGGGGGGTGATTATTCTCATCCTGTGGAAGGATGGAGAAATTGAGGCAGAGATCAAAACCAAATGACCTGCCTAGGGTCCCAGGACTAGGTAGGGTCAGGAATCGGAGTCAAGGCTTTTAGAAAATCCCAACTGCCTTCAGTTCTCGTTGGTGGGGGAGGAATGTCCCAGTTGGGACTCGGGAGAAGACGTTCGGCTGCTGGGTGCAAGCTCCGTGCGGGTCACAGCCAAAGGTTGGGTCCTCACCCCAACCCCCGCCGGATTCGCAGACCCATTGCGCGGGGAAGGAGAATTGTCGATTTTGTTTGCACAGAGGACAGCGACAGCTTCCTCAGGCTGTCGCGGGGGTATTTTTAGTACCTCCGATTCAGAAATAGGAACGTGTACATTAGAATTCCATTTCCTGAAAGGAGATCGTCCTCGTTTTTTTTTTGTATTCCTCTCCCCCTCCCAAGTCTGGGAAGACGCAGCCAGGGGAGGGGGGCGAGGAAGCGAGGAGGAATTTAAATGTTAGCTCGTTCTGGCTGCATTTCGCTGAGGGGAGATTGGGACCCAGAGGGATATGCAGATTTAACTCCGAAATCTCGGTGGATGCCACAAACCCCAGGAAACCCCACATTGGGCGAGGAGGACTTGGCGGCTAAAGATACGGAAATAGCGCCTTGCTCTTCCCAGACATCTATCCCCAGGGGGCTTGCGGGCTGCTTTGAGGAGTCCGATCCTATCCCAGTTTTATTTCCCTAGGTTTTATTAGCCCCGCCTCACAGATACACACCCCTCCCCCATTTCTGGGAGCTCTTGGGTGCCCTCCGACTGTCTCAATCAAAAACCCTTTGCTTCTTGCATCTCTGGAAGGATCCTTGGCAGAGGGGCTTCTTGGAGACCAGACACTGGCCAGGGCAAGCCCACCTTCTTCCTAAATAGTTCCAGAACTTTGGGCAAGGGGCAGACACCACAAAATTTAGTACAGAAGCCTCCTCTTAGAGAATTCTTAGAGAATTGGGTTTAAAAAGTTGGCCTGCATTCGGGAAAGGTGATTCGGTTCTCCTCTTTCTCCTTAAGAAGAAAAGATAAATAAAAAATCGATGGGGCACTCCCATCCAGGGAAATGACTTTCTAACCATCAAATGAGAGAATGGTTCTCTGAAGAAATTCTTCTGTAATGTTTTCATAGGAGAAGGACTAAAAGGGTTGCCCATCTCATAAACTGGAGACATTTATTTCCAGGTGACGGTTCTGAAGAAGGTTGAAGATGCCCCATGTTTGCAAAGGACTGCAAATGAGATAATACTAATGCGTGGAACAGGAGGCATTTCTCTCTTGGACCGCTCATCTCTCTCTGCCGTCGGGGAGAGGTAAGGAATCAGAACTCTGAGTGGAACCTGAGCAGAGTTACTTGACTCCTCCAACCTCCTTGAGGTTTTTCCCTCATAACCTGATTGTTACTTAACCTTCACACCAGCGCCTGTCAATCGCTCTCTCCTGAGAAGGTGTTATTTCACATCTGGCAGTAATTGTAGATAAACAGAGTTCTTCCATATCTATAGGGCTTAGCGCTGCTTCGCCTGAAGTCCCTCCTCCTCAGTTTAAGATACCTGCTTCCTTCAGTTGGGGGGGATTCAAAAAAGGATTTCTTCACCTGGAAAGTAGTGTGAGGAGAAAAGGAACCTTCTCTATGTATGACTAAACACCTTTCACAGCCAGTGCAGGTTCTGACGCCAACGCTAAGCTGTTGTAAGTAACTGTCCTCACTGAGATCCTTCTAGGTTATTCCCCATGCATCGGAATTGATGGGTGAAAGGTTCTATTTTCTGGGGGTTTTGGTGGGGTTTTTTTTTTTTTTTTTGCCTCTTAATATTAAGCTGTTTGCATGACTTGTAGTTTGCATTATTAACAAATGACTTAAACAAGGTAGTCATCAGCCACATATTAATATTCTAACCTTGATTAAATTGAAGAGGCCGCCCTTAAAAAATATTTTAAAAAAATCAAATTGCGGGGGAGGGGAATCCTGTCACAGACACAAAAAAGACTCCAATTATCTTTTCCCCTACAAGATGTTTGTTCTGTCCATGACTGCTCACACTTCAGCAATCTTGCCAGCAAGACTCAAAAAAAAAAAAAAAAACCCTCCTTCTTCCAAAGCCACAGCCTTGTACATAACAGATTGTACAGTCCTATTGCCTTAGGCGGGTAAGAGGTTCCTCTCTGCAAAGAGCGACACAGAGAAGTTGCCAGCATCCAGACGCATTTTGGGGGGCACTTGTGCTCACTCTTGCCTCGGCTGCAGAAGTGTGTCTGTAAGGTCCCCATTTTGCTGTTTGGCTCACAAGAGGATAGGGAGTCGCCTGAGCCAGGCCCGAGAATCACAGCAACAAGGCATCCAGGTGTGCTGGTGGTGAATGAGCTGGGGAGTGAATAACAGTGAGGGGTGGAGGGGGGTGCTGCCAGAGAGAGGACTGGAGTCTTGAGAAAACGCTGGGAAATAAACAACCTCAAGGCAGCTGCGTTGCCCTTTTCCCTGCACTTCCCTCTCAAACGTCTGAGCAACCAGTTTGCTCCTAGAAACATGTTAATTGCCAACGGAGCTCATTAAGGCATGCACATGCAAAACACAGCAAGAAAGATTAATGGACAAAAGCGCAATAATGAACTGTCAACAATCGGGCCCATCTACGCGACCAGGATCACTCAAGAATGAGGCATTTAGAGGCAACAAAGGATTGTCTGGGACAGGAAGAAAAGACGACCTAGACTTTTGTTTAGTCAACACAATTGATTACAAATGAGAGATTAACAGGATAGCTTCAGATTTTTTTAAAAAGAGGCAGAAAAGAAAAGTCCAATTAAGTCCACCGAATGTTAACTACATTGCGTTCCATGCCTAGCCCCAAAGAAATTCTCATTAAACCATCCCTGGCGATCCCTTTTGGAAAGTAATTTGTCTCCCTGATGGAGCAGAGAAAGAGAATCGTGTAAAAGAAAGCGTTAGTTCTTGGCACAATGAGCTTAGGAGACACACCAGAAAGAGCCAAAGGGGGAGTTAATGAGCATCTGACAAACTGCTTGGATTCAGGCCTAGAGAACAGCGATGAAAAGATGAAATTGGCCAACAACTATTCTTTATATCAAACATAAAAAGGCCAATCTGAAATGGGGCTGCTCAAAACTGGTTGAAAGTACAGAGCCCAAGAAAAGGGAGCCGCCGCCAGGCCCCTTGGTGGACACTGGACAGACAGGCAGAACTCAACCAGCCAAGAGCGAAAAGCTAGGCAGAAAGGTGGGCTTTGCCAGCACAGAGCAAACTCCACCACGAGCCGCACACCTTTGGTGGCACTGATCTGAAGCTCTTGGTGCCCACCACCAACCCTCTGGATGTTTCTTTCACAAGTAAAAAATGTATCAGGCTAGCCTTTGAGGACTCCCTACAAGTTCTGGTAATCTGGTTATTAGCTCCCAGCATTCTTCGAACTATACCTCTCTCTCTTCTAGAGCTATAGACCACCCCCATCCCGCTCCCACCCACCGGGATACCAGATGTCACTAATTCACATTCAGTTCTTCTACCCTCCCTCCTAGTGACCATTCAAAACTGTCACCCCCCAGGTGACTGCCTTCCTAATTCTACTCAGGGCACAGACGTGGAGAGAAAGACACTCATCACCCACGGCTTTGTGGACCAGGTGATCAAGTATTTAAATTATTTCTCCTAGCTCATCTGGCATTAAGAGGCAGCGTCACTTTAATGTTTCCACTTCTTAACAAAGTAGGTCAACATATCTGTCTATTTCAGATGCATATTACATCCCAATTAAACATAAATGTCCAGACATTCCCAACAGCGGAAGTGTTTGGGGTTCTTTTACACTCAGTGTTCAGTAAAGCCAGGTAAAAAGAACCTAATGGTGTGTGATGGGGTTTTCCACTTCCAACTTAGGAGTGTGTTAAGTGTCCAATTCTTTGCAACCCCATAGACTGTAGCCCGCCAGGCTCCTTTGTCCATGGAATTCTCCATGGAATACTGCAGGGGGCAGCCATTTCCTTCTCCAGGGGATCGTCTCTACTCAGGAATTGAACCCAGGTCTCCCGCACTGCAGGCAGATTCTTTCCTGTCTGCGCCACCAGGGAAGCCCAACTTCCAGCTAAGGAACCCAGAACAAATCGTGCGGTTGCTTAATGCCTTATTTATTCCATATTTGATGTGGGACCCGTGCCACCTCAGATACTAGAGTGCAGCATTGAAATCTTGATTCTAGGTTTTGTATTCTTACTCTCAAATCCTTGGTAACAGCGATCACATTTCTGAGGTCTTGGCTTGCACTTCAGGCTTTGCTCATGCTTCATGAAAAAAATGTATTGGTGCCTAGAAGTAAAGAATGGGGAAGAAAAAGTATACCAATTCAAAATAAAAAGAGTCATCTAGGATGAAAGACTAGTTCTGATTTTCAAAGCACAGAGGTGTTATACAATCTAGAAAGGTAGATTTCAGGAAACAGAGGAGAAAGTGAGACTTTTCTATTGTAGATCAATCAGAATCTGATATAATTTGTTTTTTATCAGGGCATCCTGTGTAGGCCATGTGACCTGACACATGATCTTTGTGGTTTCTCTCCTTTAGTGTTTTTCAGTCCTGGGTCATTTTTGGAGTTCTTTTTTTCCTCAAGGAGTTTCACTGTCCTCATTTTGCCCCGCCCCCACAAGGTGGGTGTTGATGAATTGCCTTGTAAGAGATAACTTCTTATTTATAAGGAGAAAATCCAGTGAGTGGTTAGGAGCCTGGGGTCTGGCATCAAAACAGCTGAGTTCAAATCCTAGCTCAGATACTTCTCAGGGAAGACTACCTTGTCTGTTTCTTCATTTGCAACATAGGAATAGTTTCTATCGTGCCTGAAACTAATATAACGTTCTGTGTCAATTGTACCTTAAAAGGAAAAAAAAATTTTTTTTTCTCACAGGGCTGTTGTGAGGCTTAAATGAGTTAACACATATAATTAGAACTTAGAATAGCACCTGGCATGTACATAGGAAGAATTCCAGAAGTTAGCAGTAATTATTAGAAAAACTCAAGTAGCAAAACATGAAGGCAGAGCTTCCTAAAGAAATTTTACCTGTGTTATCTTGTTGACTCCTCATTACATATTCATTACATAAGTTTTCTCAGCCCCATTTTATTTTATTTTTATTTTTTATTTTTTATTTTTTTCACACTTAAAACAGTTTATTTGAGGGCTGCTTCCTCCCTCCCAGGAGGGCGGGGCCTGTGTCCCCTCCCCAAGCTCCCCCGCTGCTCCTGGGATCCCCCAGCCTGGAAGGGGCACCGGGGCCACCCTCACAGCAGCTGAGGGACCTGAGACAAGTCTCCTCTCCTCTGTGTCGCTGTCCCCTCTCTTTAATGGTACCACTGGGTTCCTAGGAGGTCAGCCCCATTTTAAAGAGAGGCAAACCTAGTTGCTGAGAAGGTATGATTTCTGTTAGTTCACATGACTGGAAAGCGATGGACTGGGGACTCATACTCAGATGATTCTGTCTAAATATGGGTCATGGTTTTAAAAGGAAGGTATACAAGAACCAAATAACATTTTTGTTTAAATTGCATCTGATGGGAACATAAATTGATGCAGTCACTGTGGAGAACAGTGTGGAGGTTGCTTAAAAACTAAAAATAGGGTACTTCCTTGATGGTCCTGTGGTTAAGAGTGTGCTTTGGGATAGCGGGGCACAAGTTCGATCCCTGGTCAGAGAACTACGATCCCACATGCTGCAGGGCAACTAAGCATGCATGCCACTATGAAAGAGCCCGTGTGATGCAATGAAGATCCCATGTGCTGCAACTAAGACCAGATGGAACAAAAAAAAAAAGACTAAACATAGAACTACCATATGATCCAGTAATCCCACTACTGGGCACATACTCTGAAAAAGCCATAATCCGAAAGGACACATGTACCCCAGTGCTCATTTCAGCACCATTTATGATAGCCAGGACATGGGAACAACCTGAAAGTCGATTAAGAGATGAATGGATAAGGAATATGTGGTACATACACATGATGGAATATTACTCGGCCACCAACAGGAATGAAATAGGGTCATTTGTGGACATGTGGATGAACCTAGAGTCTGTCATACAGAGTGAAGTAAGTCAGAAAGAGAGCAATAAATACCGTGATTAACACACATACATGAAATCTAGAAAAATGGTACAGATGAACCTATTTCCAAGGCAGGAATAAAGATGCAGATGTAGAGAATGGACATGTGGACACAGAGTGGGAAGGGAGGGTAGGACAAATTGGGAGATTAGGGTTGACATATGTACACTACCATGTATTAATATAAAATAGATAGCTAGTAGGAACCTGCAGTAAGGCACAGAAGCTGAGTTCATGCTCTGTGATGACCCAGATGGGTGGGATGGGGGGCGTGGGTGGGAGGGAGGTCCAAGAGGGAGGATATATATGTATGCATAAGGCTGATTCACTTCATCATACAGCAGAAACTAACACAACATTGTAAAGCAATTGCATTCCAATAAAAGAAACTTTTAAAAAAGAAAAAGGCACCTGAATTCAATTTACTGAGATGCTGGGTGGACAGTTCTGTTCTGTAGTCCAGGAATCTGCACTGTAACCTGAAGCAGTTGGTTCCTGACTACCCTTAAGAAACACTGATTTAGCATCTGTGTTCTTTCCACCTCACAATGATGCTATGTTTAAAAGATAAAAGGACTGTGGCCCACTAGGCTCCTCTGTCCATTGAATTTTCCAGGCAAGAATACTCGAGTGGGTTGCCATTTCCTATTCCAGGGGATCTTCCCAACCCAGCGATCAAACCCGTGACTCCTGCATTGGCAGGTGGATTCTTTACCACTGTGCCACCTGGGAAGCCCCAGTAACACCATTTGCTGCTGCTGCTGCTGCTGCTAAGTCGCTTCAGTCGTGTCCGACTCTGTGCAACCCCATAGACGGCAGCCCACCAGGCTCCCCCGTCTCCCTGGGATTCTCCAGGCAAGAACACTGGAGTGGGTTGCCATTGCCTTCTCCACTGCATGAAAGTGAAAGTGAAGTCGCTCAGTCATGTCCGACTCTTCGCGACCCCAGGGACTGCAGGTACCAGGCTCCTCCGTCCATGGGATTTTCCAGGCGAGAGTACTGGAGTGGGGTGCCATTGCCTTCTCCCGAGGGCTTCATAAATTAATACACTCATTCATCCAACAAATATGATAAGAACACCTCCAATGTGTCAGACACTATGCTGGGTGCTGGAATTACAAGGAAGAGAAGAACATAGCCTCTACCTCAGAGTTTATAAGAGAAAAGTGTGAAAGTGAAAGTTAAGTCGCTCAGTCGTGTCCGACTCTTTGTGACCCTGTGGACTGTAGCCCACCAGGCTCCTCCGTCCATGGGATTCTCCAGGCAAGAATACTGGAGTGGGTTGCAATTTCCTTCTCCAGGGGATCTTCCTGACCCAGGGATTGAACCCTCGTCTGCTGCATTGCAGGCAGACGCTTTAACCTCTGAGCCACCAGGGAAGCCCTTTATAATAGAGTAGGGGTGGAAATCACATACAACAAAAATCCCCATATGATACCTGGTCATGAAGATGAAATTCGGCATTCAGTCCTGTCTGGGGTGGGGTGTGTAGTGGACATCTGTTACTTTTGCCTGCTGAGCATCATTCTCCCCTCTGGTAACAACATTCAACAGTTCCTTCTGAGACACCACCTCCCCCCCACCCTCCATCTGTATGGTTAAAGTGGGTCCCGCCCCACAGTGGGCACGTGACCCAGGTCTGACCAATCAGAGTTTGGCGTCTCCCTGGCCATGGTGACGGCTCAGGGCTGGTCACGTGACCCAATCAGAGCCTTGCAAGTTGCGCCGTGGCGTGGGTCAAGGCGGAAGCCGTTCTCCTGGGGCTCGCGAGTGGACTCGGCCTAAGTCTGGGGACCGGTGTACACGTGTTTGTTACAGTGTTGTGGTTTATGCATGTTTATTACAATATCCAGACCTTCCAGTACTGAAAGTATCAGAGGTGGAGAGGGAGAGGAATCGAAAGGCGGCCCAGAAAGACCCCGTTGGACTCTGGTATGGTTGAAGCCCGAGGCACACATGGACTTCATGGCTATTTGCTCTAAAATGGAGTCTCCCAGCTCTGACTTCTGCGACTCCTGATGGACATTGGACAGATAAAAGGGAAGTGTGAGATGCTTGGTTAGAGAAAGTCGTCCCTGCGTTGAGTCGTCAGCAGGCAGGAGGCATTACCAACGGAGAAATGGAAGAAGAGCCATCTCATGCAGCCCACGTGAAAGCCCGCAGGTGAAAGGACGGTGAGTTGATGCGTCTAGATGTGGTTGGGTGTGGCTGGGTTTAATATGGAGAAGTGTGACTTTGAAATTTAGTTGTGCCTCTGAGCAACTGTAAAACTCTGCACTACAGTCTTACCTTCTCTGAACCTGAGATTTCTTCTCTGCAAAATGGGTGCAATAACGTGGGCCATAAGGATTCAATGCAGTGGGGCTAATCAAACACCTGATCCGTTACAGGTGTTTAGGTAAATGACTGTAATGATTATCACCGGAATGTGATTATACCTTAACTCGTTATTGACCAGGTGATTCTTGCTGAAACTACTGCTTTGGCTGGCAGTTTTTATTTTGACAAACCAAAAATTAATCGTTATTTAATTAACACTTTGTAGAGTATTACACCCAATAAATTACACCCGACACACCTATAAAGTCTTCTCATGTACCATGAGTTTCGTTTTCACTTCTCGTAACAGTCAATCACTAAGGTTTTTGTCTTTCTCTTGGTCTAATATTGAGGTCACCTGATTAGAACTATATTCTGAAGAACTGTCCTCTTCAGAAACACGAGTGTATGTGTCACTTGAACAATCAGAGAAAGTATCTCATGAAATTCACCGAAAAATTCTTCTTCACTCAAAATTTTACCATGTGCCGATTTTGAAAATTTTTCAGTAATAAACTTGAGTTTACAATATACATGAGTTGGGGAAAAACCTAACGGAGCAAAATGTGATAATGATAGTAGTAAGTTGTATAATGAATCTTTGATGAATTTAAGCTCTAACAAACATTACAGCTCTAGTGATGTTAATTGTATCACTGTCTAAACAAATTGATATATCCCTGGTCAATAATGTTCAGATAATAAAAGACAAACCACATATCAATGATGTGGTTTAAGAGGGAGGGACTGTTGGCGTTCTAATTTCCCACGTGGTCCAATGCAGTGTTCTGCTGGAGTTTGAGGTGTCTTAGGGCAAAAATTGGTACCTTAGCACCCTGTCAGCATCTGCCTGGCTGCTGAAGCCCGCCTATTTCTGAGTAAAGCAGGGAATATAGATCAAATATCATTGACTTTGTGGAGTACCCTAGACTAAGCTGTGTGACTAAGCTTCTAACATTGAGACCCAGTTGCCTCATCTTTAAATTCTTTGCCAATAGCAACGTTGTTAGAAGGACTTAAGTGAGATAGTATGTGTAGAGTGGCTGGCACATAGTTGACATGCAATAAATTATAGCTTTCTACTCTGACTACTACTTGCTAATACTACAGTTGGTACCCTTCAAATTTTGAGATACGTGATGCCGTGTTTTGTTTTTTTGGTAACTTGATTTATTTTGGGCTGGGTTGGGTCTTCGTTGCTGCAGGGGCTGCTCTCTAGTTGCATTGCCCGGGCTTTTCACTGCGGTGGCTTCGCTTGTTGCGGAGCACAGGCTCTAGGGCACATGGGCTTCAGCAGCATCAGCACGTGGGCTCGGTAGTTGTGGCCACAGGCATGTGGGGTTCTTTACCACTGAGCCCTGCAAGCCCTGGGAAGGCCCTGCAAGGTCTTTAGCAAAGTAATAAGCACCACAAGGGCAAGGCTGTCCGCCTTGTTCACTGCCGTGTGCCCAATGCTTGGCACATAGTAGGTACACGAAAATGAGCTAGCTAAGAACTTCCGCTCCTCCCCACGGGCAGGGAGGTTACCTGCTCCATCTTCTGGGCAGCCCCTGGTACCCTCATCTGGTAACAGTTCAGTCCTAAAACATTTACTGAAGGCTTACTATGTGCCAGCATTGTGAGGATGCAGCCGTGAACATGACAGACTCTGACCTTGTGGATCTTAACATCCTAATGGTGGGACACAGGTGATGAACACTCCAAGAAACAGGAGACAAATTCAGATGCTAGTAAACACCAGGAAGGAAATCAAAGAGGGTTACTTGATAGAACATGTATGTGGGAGAAGGCTACTTGAAATAAGTCATCGGTACCAGTCATGATACCATTCAAGACCCTGTTGTATCCAGGCACCAGCTAACAGAAGCATCAACACAACTCAAGTTGGCCCCTGGAGTTAATCCACTTGGACTTAATCTCAACGCCTCTCCTCCCCCACAACTCCTAATTATCCATTGGTTGGTACCTCTAAAATCTGCTTGGGACTTGGTAAAAGGGTTTTCCATGGTATGATACACAAAAGAAAAAGCACCCCTGGGCAGTGAGTGCTATAGGCCATTGACCCACATATCATTTTCCCACTGAATGACACGGTAATTGATCAAAGTTAAAAAAAAAAATTTATAGAAAGAGATACTGCTGCCATGTTTTTAAAGCGCGCGTTTCTCAGCCAAGTCTCCAGATGGAATCACCGAAGCAACACATCCTTGACTTAAATGTGACTGTTTAACAGTTATATTGGGTAGGCCATATTTTTCCACAAGGAGGTGGTTGCTTGTCTTAGGAACTTGAGACTCTTAACAGACTTTTGGGTGAGAGCTTTCCAGGATACCAGTCTTTTTCTCTCACTTCCTGAAGTCACAGAAGTCAGAGCCCTGGCCGTCGTGTCAGGAGAGGGGAGTGACAGAGCGAATTGTCACCCAGCTAACGGAATGATGAGGTTCTAGGGTGTCCTCACGCCAGTGACTGCCGCTAATGATGCTTCATAAGCACGGTTGCATTGTTTGTTTTCGCCTGAGCATTGTCTGCTTTCCCTCCTGGTTATCAGCCTTCTGGTTTTGTTTTGAGGGAGCTGCCGTTCTCCGCTGAGCACAGATCCTTGGTATTGTGAAGAAGTCCCCCCTGGGACATGTCCACCAGCCAGGGGACAGGTGTGGAGCTTAAGTTGAATTATGCAGATGCTTTATTTGGAATTCAACTCTTGAGCAGAGGGACAAGACTACAGATGACTGGACCTCATTCATTTCAAGGAGACCCGAGGGTCAGCCTGTTACATATCCTGAGTTGCCCTAATTCCTGCCCTTCCAAACCTTCTATTACAACCTTCCCTTCTGTTCTGCTAGCTCCCTCATAACCTTCCAATGAATTAATTTTCCACATAAATTGGCCAGAATTCTCTTCTGTAGTTTATAACCAAAAATATTGACTAGTACAGTAATCTCACCCATGATTCACCTTCTCCTTGTAATCCTTAGAAACAGAACATCTGAAGTTCAAGATCGGTTTTCCATGCGCTTCATTTTTATAGTCTGCCTAAATCCCTTCTTCTGGTTGTGAGAATCTTTCAAGTAGACATGTCCTACTTTGCGACGTGAAAGAAGTTTGGAGGAAGAAAACTCTATAACCCTATCTACACATCATATTTATATACAGAATAAAAATGTCTTCAGAGGTGGGGTTGAGGCTCAGCCAAGGAACTCAGGGAAAAGTTAAAAATACAGCACCACCATGATGAGCTTTAGGAAAATTTCTCAGGGAGGGAAATGGGGAAATACTGATCAAAGGGTATAAACTTCCAGTTAGAAGTTTCATACGTTTTGGGGATCTGATAGACAGCACTGTAAGTCTAGTTAACAATACTGCATTTTATACTTGAAAGTTGCTAAGAGAACAAATCTTCAATGTTCTCACCACAGAATATAAATGGTGATTATGTGACGTGATGGAGGTGTTAGCTAACACTGTAGCGGTGATCATTTCACAATATACGTGTATCAGATCAGCATGTCATGCATCTTATAATTGATATAACGTTGTGTCAGTTTATCTCAATAAAACTTTGGGAGAAACAATAAGATACCCCTCTTCCCCACCAAAACAGTAAAGAAGAATGAGCTCTTAGGATATAATCTAGTTATTTTTTTCTGTACTCCCATGATGTAGGAACAACCTAAGTGAAGCTGACTGAAAAAGAGGACATCTCAGTGTAGACTTTAGGAAGATACTGACTGAGGTCAAGTGGTATCATGGAAGAAGGCTGGTTTCCCTTCCTGGGGTCTGAACCTAGAAGTCTGTTCCTTGTTTGTTGAAGGACATGGACCCTAAAACCTGGTGGACCTAAGAGCCAAGAACCATCATTTATCATTTGTCCCTTTCCAGAAGTAAATCAATCTAATTTCACTCAAAACCACTTTTTAATAAGGTAGTCAATAAAAATATTAAGTCAAGGTAACATATGGGAGGAAAATAGATGGGCTACTAGGTTACTGAGAGAAAGGGTTACTGAGGGTGACAGACACTGGACTTCCTGGTAGCCATAACGAAGGACAGTGGGTTATATTCTGACATTGTCCAAGAGACGCCAGAAAACAGAACAGCTTCCTTGATCAGATTTGTCTTAATAGGTTTCAAGTTAGTGCTTCGGTCTTGAATATTGTGAAGTGTGCACCCAGAAACCGGCGTACAGGTTAACACCAGCTGGGTTGTATAGTAATAAGTAGAAGGTGCCAGCCGACTTCTGTCATGTCCAGAGCTCACAGAGGGAAAAAAATGTGGAAAGTCAAAATGCT